ATTAAAAGTATAGAAAGAATAAATTATGAAAGAAAAAATAAGAGAAAATAAGGATGTAAGAAATTTGGGGTAGAATTACATCGACAAAAGTAAAGGCAACACTGAAATGCCTAAGAACAATTGCAAGTTTTAAGGACAACGAGAATATAATGGGAAAATTATTTCAAGAAAAGAAATTGCTTTCGCTCATGAGATTTCAGAACTGACTGAAATTATGTTATTTATCAAAAGGTTCAGGATAAGGACGACATTCTCAAAATTTAGTTCACTGAAAGATCCTGTTTCAATCAGCATGTTTATATATATATATATATATATATATATATATATATATATATATATATATATATATATATATATGTGTGTGTGTGTGTGTGTGTGTATATATGTGTGTGTGTGTGTGTGTATATATATATATATATATATATATATAAGACAAAGAGAAAAATTTCAGTTTGTCTTTATTTATAATATCCTTTTAGAGTTATATTCGTATATATATATATGTATATAGGTTCATCTACTCAGTTTCAATACCTTGTTTTTAAAATGAATTTTTATCAATGACAAAGGATTTTTAAAGTTTTCTTTTTAGCTTTCATTGAAAGCTAAATGATTAAATTCACTATTTGCATTAAGCTAAATACTCCGGTGCATTTCAAATAGAAATTACGTTGGTTGAAATGTCAACTTTTTTTTGGTTGCTTTCAAAAACAATCATTTAAATTTGGCGCATTTTACACATTTTACACATTTTGACACATTTAAGTTAATTCCTAATTTTAAAACTTCTAAAAATATATGTGACACGTTATTTGAGGAAACCTAGCAAATATAAAGTTAAAAATTATTTGAAACAAATTTGTTTATAGCATAACAAATGTAGTATACTAGAATTTCTTATTCAAGGTGCTTATTGTTTTGACGTAATGATCAACTTATTGGCAGCCTAAGGTGTCGACAGCCAAGTATGGTTGACCATAATTGACATAAATTTACGAAATCTAAGTGAACGCATTTTTGTTTTTTTTAACTACCTTGCAATTTAAAAAAAAATTAACATATTTTCAGCAATCATGTAACATTTTATTGAATTTTAGTTACTTTAGATTTATAGCCTTACGTGTGAAGATGCTTTCTGAAAAAAACAATAAAATTTAAAATGCTATAAAATTTTCTCAAATTAATTTAAAAATTTAATAACTGAGATGTTAACCAAATAACAAGGTAAGGACGACATTCTCAAAATACCATGATATAGGTAAATCAATAATTTATGAATTATTATGGCATTTTATTTATTATTTATTTATATTTTTAATATCTTACTTATTTTTTTATTTTATTCTTTATCATTAATTGTTATCATGATGGTTATGAAATGTTAAAATTATTTTATTTATTAAATTTTCATGGTACTTTAAATTCTAATTTTAATTACGTAATTGTTTACACTTCTATTATTTAATCCAATACCCTAAATATTTATATATATATATATATATATATAAAGATATATATATATAGTAATAGTAATTAAAAAAGTAAAACTTACTTTAAAATTCTGAAGAGATGATTTGAAAAGACGTAAACACGATAAAACATAGAAATGAAAGAATTGCAGTTTCATAAATATAGTTTTCAATTAATAACAATATCATTTAACCAGATTAAAGTAATGCAGAATTTTAAACGATTTATAATATTATGAATTATCATGATTAAAGTTTAAATAAAAATTGAAAAAAATCTTGTAAAAATTCATTATTCATCGAAAAATAGTGTCTTTAATAAATCTTATTTATAAAAGCAATTAAAATATTAAAATATTTTCTAATTAAACAACGTCATGGTACATTTTTTCATTTCAGATTCAGAAGAGATTTTCGGTAACTGGTTCTCCCATTTTACAAAAAAGAAAAAAAAATGATGATTTAAATTCTCCAAGGAGTTCTGCTTTCCTCACAGATGAAGAAGAGACTTGAAGCAACACAAATATAGTTCTACATATTCTGCTGAACATGAGAGCCAAGGCGAATTTTAGAGAAAATGAAAACAAAAAAAGACACTTCTTAAGACGTGACCAGTCCACAGCAACTGAGACTGTATGAGGAAAGTCTCGATTACTCCAACATTACGCCTATTAGACAGGTCTACATTGGATATCCTTGTCTTGAAGACTAACTCCACAGATGGCGTATATGGTACCTGTATGAAGTTCACAACTCTTGAGCCAATTGCTCATGAGTTTGTGAAAGAACGGCCATCCCCCATCGGTCTGCCACTGTTTAGAGCTCCAGCTAGAACCTTCCAGTAATATCCTTTAACTGATCCCGCCGTATTCACTCTCTCGTCACTGTGTGGATAAGAATTAATTAAACCGCCAGAAAATTCACACAAGTGATTTGATTAAAGTGATGAGGGCTTGTGCTGAATCATCAAAACATTTCGGAACTATTGATACACTCTGTCGGTGCAAATAAATGCCACAGACAAACCAAATAATAGACCTCAGGCTTTTCGTGTAAGATTTTTCCATCTCTTAGACCATTCGTGTGCTATAGAACTACAGAACCTGGTCAGCCATGGTAAGCACTATTTGCCCATAGCTGGGACCCTACCAGGTCGGATCTGGGAACAACAGCAATTAGAAGGTGGTTCCACACTCAAATCCTCCAATATCCCGATCAGAATACTTGCTGTCAAATGTAGTCTATCGTCATACCCAGGACACACACACACACACACACACACACACACACACACACACACACACACACACACACACACACACACACACACATATATATATATATATATATATATATATACACACACAACAAAAAAATTCCAAATAACCTCATATGTGGAATAAGCTTATTTCGACAACCGAAAATATAATTCGCCTGTCTTATAAACCCCGGTATAGACTGAATTCGTGTCCGAAATAGAATTTAATAAAAAAAAAAAAAAAAAAAAAAAAAAAAAATTCATCTAAAAACTAATACAGAATTTATCAATTTTAATGTTTCAATCAGCTGAATGGTACGAGACAGTGGAAGGTGGAATGTATTTGTCTTAAAGGGAATAGTTTTTATAAAATTAAACCAGGATATTAACCTTATGACATTACATTGGGGTTATATGAAGAATGAAATGTTATTTTAAGATTAAGGGAGGAATAAAAAGGGGTTAAAACTTAAAAAAATATAGAAAGTTATATTTAAAAATACAAAGTCATACCTAAAAGCACGAAGTCATATGAAAAACAAGTTATATTTGAAAATATATATATATATTAAAATAAGTCATATTTAAATAATTTATATTTAAAAATAAAAGAAAATTATATTTAATAATAAATTATATTTAATATAAAATAAATAGGTCATATTTAAAAATAAAAATATATAAAAATAAGAACCTCCCCCTTTAAGACAAATACCTTACCCCCTCCCCTGATCACTGTCTCGTGTCTTTCGTCTGACTGAAACATTGAAATGGATAAATTCTGTATTAGTTTTCCGACGGTTTTTTGTACCTTTCAAAGTTAAATTTCTATTTTCGACACGAATTCAGTCTATACCGTCGTTGATTAGACAGACGAATTATATATTCGTCTGTTGAAATAACCTTATTACTCATATAAGGAGATTTGGGATTTTATTGTGTATTAATTATTGCTCTGTAATAATAAATACATTGAGCTCTTTTTGTGCATCAGTTTTATTATTTTATATTACTAGGATCCACTTGGATTATATACCAATGGATTTGTTACCTTTACTCTCTCTCTCTCTTTCTCTCTCTCTGTATATATATATATATATATATATATATATATATATATATATATATATATGAGATAATAATATACAATTTTATATATCAATAACAATTTTAGAGAACGAATGTATGACAATGTGCAAAAAGTTTTCTTGTGGCGTGTTTCGTCATTTGGGACTTCATCGGACTAAATTCGTTATGTTAGTGCGACTATACATGCGCACGAACAAGGGATTCTGTCTATTTTTTTTTCACAACGTGTCACAAGGAACCTTTACCACTTTGATATACATTTTTCCACAATATATATATATATATATTATATATATATAAGTGTAACTTAATATGCTGATGGAGAAAGCAGTTGTTTTACGTTTAAAAATAAAATTTTCGTTCATACCTACATGTCATGGCTCAGACTTATTGATCAAGTGACGTACATAGTCATTGATATATAAGAGTGCAGAAATGTTGTTTCCACTATAAAATATGAAAGGAGCATCACTTTTTTCTTTCAAGAAATCTTGATAAGCGGTTGACATGGAAACTGTCGCATAGACAGAAGGAGAGAGACAGACAGACAGACAGACAGACAGACAGACAGACAGAAAGACGGAGAGTAAACATTGACATTCACTCTTCAAATGCATTTTGCATTCTGTAACATTTAAATTGAACACTTTCTTCAATCTATTTCATTCTATCTTTTAAGCTACGGGAAATAACTGGTCATATTTTGACTCTTTATTTAATATATATTTATAATGATGCTACAGCCCGATCCATTGAACTAGAATATATGGATATTACAGATCCCCAGGTGAAATGAACGGTTTTGAAAAGCTTATATGCAAAAGACCATTGTCTCGCAGAAAAATCAAGTATTGGACTTCTGATAGAAAATAAATTCTGATTTTGATACTTTTTGAGAAAATTCGAAGAATTAGAGAGCTGCCTAATTCCAACATATTATTCGGGATTTTTTCCAAGTTATTTTGTGAGTGATTAAGGAAAGAAATAAAGATATAAAATACATGTTTCAGTTAGAATTCGTATTTAGCTAACATTGCAAACATCTGCAGTGGCTGCGGTATAAAAAAAATATCTGTTTCATGTTCCTCAGATATCAGCGGGCCTTCACCAGGAAAAGGAAAATGAAAAGGAAAAGAAAATGCATTCGCCAGAAAAAGAAATGGAAAACAAATTTACTTCACCAGAAAAAGAAGAAAAAACAAAAGATTTTATTCGCCAAAATAAAGGAAAAGGAAAAGTAATTGACTTCACCAGATAATGAAAAGTAAAGAGAAAAGAAATTGGCTTCCCCAGAAAAAGTAATGTAAAAGAAATTGGCTTCAGCAGGGAAAGTAAAGAAAAAGAAATTGCATCTACCAGAAAAAGAAAAGGAAAATGTAACAAAATTGCCATAACGAGAAAAAAATAAAGAAAAGGAAAAGAAAATGTCTTAACCAGAAAAAGAAAAAGAATACGAACTGACTTCACAGGAAAAAAAGAAAAGAAAATTATCTCCACCAGAAAAAAAAGAAATTGCCTACACTACAAAAAGAAAGAAAATAAATTGACTTCACGAGAAAAAGAAAATAAATTGGCTTCACCAGAAAAAGCGAAGGAAATTGACAACAAATTACCTTCACCAGAAAAAGAAAAGTAAATTACCTTCACCAGAAAAATAATAAAAAAAGACATAAAATAACCTTCATTAAGAAAAAAAAAGAACAGGAGAAACGAAAAAAAAACAAACATTTCTTTCATTAGAAAAGGTAAAGGAAACGGAAATTAAATTGCCTTTAAGAAAAGTAAAAGCAAAATAATTCGAATTCGCCAGAACGATAAATGAAAAGGAACTTCACTCATTAGAAAAGGGAAAGGAAAAGAAGTTCATTTCACAAGAAAAAGAAAAGGAAAAGAAATTGTGTTTACCAGAAAAAAAGAATAGAAAAAGAAATTGCATCCACCAGAAAAAAGAAAATGAAAATCAAAAGAAATTGCCTTTACTAGAAAAAGAAAAAATAGACTTCACCAGAAAAAGTAAACGAAAAGAAATTGCCTTAACCAGAATAAGTAAATTAAAATAAATTGCCTTAACCAAAATAAGTAAAGTAAAATAAATTGGCTCCACCAAAATAAGAAATAGAAAAGGAAAAGAAATTGCCTTCATGAGAAAAAGAAAAATTAGGGGAAATCAAATTGCTTTAACTAGAAAAAGAAAAAAGAAATTGCATTCACTAGAAAAAGTGAAGAAAAAAATTGCCTTCACCACAAAAATAAAAGAAAAAGGAAAAAAAATTACTTCCCAAGAAAAAGAAGAGGAAATAGAAAAAGAAATTGCTATCACCTGCACAATTGCCTACACAAGAAAAAGAAAAGGAAAATTGCGTGCAACAGAAAACTAAAATTAAAAAGAAATCAAGAAATAAAGATGATATTTAACAGAAAAGGAAAAGGAAAAGGAAAAGAAGCTGCCTTCACGAGATAAAGTAAAAAACAAAGAAAAGAAATTTACTTCCCAAGAAAAAGAAAAGGAAAAGAAATTATCTTCAACATAAAAATAAAATGTAAAGAAATTGCGGTCACTAGAAAAAGGAAAGGAAAAGAAATTGCCTTACCAGAAATAGAAAAGGAAAAGTAATTGCCTATACCAAAATAGAAAACGAGAAGGAAAAGTAATATTCTTCATCAGAAAAAAAGACAGGAAAGTGACAAGCAATTGCCTTCACTAGAATAAGGAAAGGAAAAAGAAAGGAAATTGTCTTCACTAGAAATAGTAAAGGATAATTAATTCCCTACACCAAAATAGAAAAAGAAAATAAATGAAATTACCTACACAAGAAAAGGAAAAGAAAATGTAAAGTAATTTTTTTTCACCAGAAAAATGGAAAGAAATTGCTTTCACAAGAAAATGAGAAGGAAAAAATTGCCTTCATCAGAAAAGAAAAGTAAAAAGTTTTCTGGTGAAGCCATTAAAAAATGGAAAAGGATAAGAAATTGCCTTCACCAGAAAAAATGAAGGAAAATGAAAAGAAATTGCCTATGCCAGAAAAATAAAAAGAGAAGAAAAAATTACATTCACCAGAAAAGGAAAAGAAAAAGAAAATTCCTTCACCAGAAAAATTACAGGAAAAGGAAAAACATTGCATTCACCAAAAAATGAAAACAGAAAAATGCATTATTCCTCGTCCATGTCTTTTTTCTTTTCCTTTTTTCTGGTGAAGTCAACTTTTTTCTTTTTCCTTCTCTTTCTCTGGTAAGGCAACTTCTTTCATTTTTCTTTTTCTGGTGAAGGCAATTTGTTTTCCTCTTCTTCCTCTGTTGAAGGAATTATTTTCATTTTGTTTGCTTTGTTCTGGTGAAGGTAATTTCTTTTCTTTTCGATTTCTATTCCTGGTGAAGTAGTTTTTTTTTTACTTTTCTTTTTTTTCTGTCGAAGGTAATTTCTTTTCCTTCTCATTTTCTGATGAAGGAAATCTATGTACATTTACCGTTTCTTTTCTGGAGAAGGCAATTTCTTTTCATTTCTTTTTCTGTCGAAGGAAATTTCTTTTCCTTTTATATTTCTGGTGAAGGTTTTTTTTCCTTTTTTTATTTTTCTGGTGAAGGATTTTTTTTCTTTATCTTTGCTATTGAAGTGAATTTCTTTTCATTTTCTTTTCCTAGTCTAGGCAATTTTTATTCGTTTTCGTGTTCATTCGTTTAATATACTAGTGAGGAAATTGCCTTCACCAGTGAGGAAAAAGAATAGGAAAGAAATTGCTTTCACCAGAAAAAAAGGAAAAGAAATAGCCTTAACCAGAAAAGGAAAAGAAATTTCCTTCAACAGATGAAGAAAAGAAGAAGGAAAATAAATTGACTTCACCAGAAAAAGAAAAATTGAAAGAAATTGCCTAAACAAGAAAAAGAAATGGGTAAATGTTAACTTCACTAGAAAAAGGAAAAACAAAAGGAAATCGAAGTGTACTTGCCTTCACCAGAGTATGAAAAGGAAAAGGAAAAAGAAAAGTAATGGATTTCACCACAAAAAAAAAAAAAAAAAATGTAAACAAATTGGCTTCACAATAAAAAGAATTGGAAAAAGTATCCTTCACCAGAAAAAGAAAAGTAAAAGAAATTGCCTTCACCAGAAGAAGAAAAGGAAATAAAATTGTCTTCATCCGATAAAGAATTGAAAGAGATATTGCCTTCAACAGAACAAGAAAAGGATAGTGAAATGAAATTGCTTTCCCCGAAAAAGAATAGGAATATGGACAGAAATTGTCTTCACCAGAAAATACAAAACAAAGTTAAATAAATTTCCGTTATTAGAAAAGGAAAGGCAATTGCGTTCACCAGTAAAAAAAAAAGTAAAAAAAAACCCTTCATCACAAAAATAAAAGAAATTGCTATCACCAGAAAAAGAAACATAAAAGTAAAAGAAATTTCCTTCACCATAAGAAGAAATGTAAAAGGACAAGAAATAACCTACACAAGAAAAATGAACAGGAAAACGGATAAATATTGCCGTCAAAAGAAAAAGAAATTTCCTTCACTAGAAAATGTAAAACAAATTGCTTTCTCTAGAAAAAAGAAAGGAAAAGAAGAAGAAAGTATCTTCATCAGAAAAACAAAAGAAAAAGAAATTGCCTTCAACAGAAAAAAAAGAAATTGCCTTCAACAGAAAAAGAAAAGAAATTGCCTCTACGAGAAAAAGAAAGGAAGTGAAATTGTCTTCACCAGAAAAACAAAATGAAAAGAAATTGCCTACACCAAAAAAGAAAAAGAAAATTTAAAGAAATTTTCTTCATCAGAAAAAGGGAAATGAATAGGACAAGAAATCTCTCCGCAGAAAAAGGAAATAAATGCCTTCATCAGAAAAAGAAAACAAAAAGAAACAGACTCCCCCAGAAAATGAAAAAGAAAGGAAATTGCCCCACCAGAAAAATAAAATAAAATTACCTTCACCAGAAAAGGAAAAATAACTTACTTCATCAAAAAAGGAAAGGAAATGAAAATAAATTGCTTTCATCACGAAAAAAATGTAAAAGAATTAGCCTTCACCAGAAAAAGCAAAGGAAAAGAAAAGAATTTGCCTTCACCAGGATCAGAAAATGAAATGAGAAGTTCCTTCCCCATAGAAAAAAGAAAAGGAAAAGACATTGCCTTCACCTGAAAAAGTAAAGGAAAGGTAATTGCCTTCACCAGAAAAAAGAAAAAGAAAAGGAAAATATTTCATAGAACATAAATGAAGGCTCGCAGAGCTGACACACAGTATTGTACATTGTTACGCCGAAAAATAAAAATTGAAAATATATACATATATATACTTTCTTTGATCAATCGAGAATTATTTGATTTCCGATTGATTAGTTTTCTGTTGACAATATCAGAAAAAAACCTTTTCACATAAATGTTCATTTATCTGTCGTGATTCTTTTTTTTTTTATTTCAGAGCTCGTCACACACACACACACACACACACACACACACATATATATATATATATATATATATATATATATATATATATATATATATAAAACATTCTGTATTTAAGTTTCCAAAGCCTTATCAATGACTGAAGCGTTGGTATAAATGTCGATATAATTTTATTCAGAATCCAAGTATAACAAGAATTGGTTTCGTCGTGAAATTCTGTCTATATTTCTGAGATGAATTATTACAATTATTTACATTATTTGGAAGTAGAACAATCCAATCCCAATCACCTGAAGAAGGCTAGAGCGTACAACGTTCGAAACGTCGTGAATATAGCAATAAAAATGAGGACAACAGTCCCAAAAATGTAAATAATTCTGATAATAGTAGTTTTTTAAATAAATATGATATAAATTCCTAGCATTACTAATACGCAGTTTGATTTTTCTACTAGATGCTATTTTGCCTGATACTCATTTTAATAAGTCAAGTGGATCCTTAAATGCGTGTTTATATCAAATGTACCACCAATTGGAATATCGATACATCATTTGTTCTAACCTGGTATGCTACAAGTCCGATTTTGGGCAGAAATCAAAATCTTGTGGTCAATTTTCCGCTGTTTCTGCTTGGATAAGCTGTTTGGTAAGATTCTCAGTTTTTATACGCGTCTTAAATTATAGAACAGTCATTACCACAACAAAAAGTTTAACCAACTTATAAATGATATGAAAAAGCAACAAACAGTAAGAGAAGGAAAGACAGGGACCCCCATAATACATTCGAGAAATCTATACAAGGAATCAAGGAAAATGACATGGATTTAGCTATGCATAGGAAAAAAAAATTATAACAGCCCAATGAAAAGAAAGAGAATCCGTACTATGTAAGGTCAAGTATAAACGAGGGCATGCCAAACAGGAAACACCTTCTCTCTGGAAATTCCAATGAGGCATTAAAACAGAAAACTGGCTCAAAAGAAAGATAAACATGACTGGATGGAGATAGTCACCAACTGTGAAGTGTGCAAATGATTTGATCATAATAACAAATGGTCTTAAACAATTACAAGAGATTTCAATGAAAAAAAGAAAACAGAATTGAAATTACTCTGGGAATTTTTACTTTCCAAGATATCCGCAAAACATCAAAACGTGAATGCAGCTAATCTGTTCTGCTACAGAATGGAAATGGGGAGTGAAAAACATGAAATTAGATGCACTTCTCCCAGAAATGAAACAATACAAATTGATAGTCGTACCAATAATCATAACAATGCATGAATTAGTTTTAAAAACTCTTCTCAAAATATTGGAAGACATTAACAGCAGTTGAACAACAGTATTACAGTATGAATGCTGACAGGTGATAATTAGATGCTCTTCTGTCATTCTCTTCTGTCATTCTCTTCTGTCATTCTCTTCTGTCTGTCATTCTCTTCTGTCATTCTCTTCTGTCATTCTCTTCTGTCTGTCATTCTCTTCTGTCATTCTCTTCTGTCATTCTCTTCTGTCTGTCATTCTCTTCTGTCTGTCATTCTCTTCTGTCATTCTCTTCTGTCATTCTCTTCTGTCTGTCATTCTCTTCTGTCATTCTCTTCTGTCTGTCATTCTCTTCTGTCTGTCATTCTCTTCTGTCATTCTCTTCTGTCATTCTTCTGTCTGTCATTCTCTTCTGTCATTCTCTTCTGTCATTCTCTTCTGTCTGTCATTCTCTTCTGTCTGTCATTCTCTTCTGTCATTCTCTTCTGTCATTCTCTTCTGTCTGTCATTCTCTTCTGTCATTCTCTTCTGTCATTCTCTTCTGTCTGTCATTCTCTTTCATTCTCTTCTGTCATTTCTCTGTCATTCTCTTCTGTCTGTCATTCTCTTCTGTCATTCTATTCTGTCATTCTATTCTGTCATTCTATTCTGTCATTCTATTCTGTCATTCTATTCTGTCATTCTATTCTGTCATTCTATTCTGTCATTCTCTTCTCATTCTCTTCTGTCATTCTCTTCTGTCATTCTCTTCTGTCTGTCATTCTCTTCTGTCATTCTCTTCTGTCATTTCTTCTGTCTGTCATTCTCTTCTGTCATTCTCTTCTGTCATTCTCTTCTGTCTGTCATTCTCTTCTGTCTGTCATTCTCTTCTGTCATTCTCTTCTGTCATTCTCTTCTGTCATTCTCTTCTGTCTGTCATTCTCTTCTGTCATTCTCTTCTGTCATTCTCTTCTGTCATTCTCTTCTGTCTGTCATTCTCTTCTGTCTGTCATTCTCTTCTGTCATTCTTTTCTGTCATTTCTTCTGTCATTTCTTCTGTCTGTCATTCTCTTCTGTCATTCTCTTCTGTCATTCTCTTCTGTCTGTCATTCTCTTCTGTCATTCTCTTCTGTCATTCTCTTCTGTCATTCTCTTCTGTCTGTCATTCTCTTCTGTCATTCTCTTCTGTCATTCTCTTCTGTCTGTCATTCTCTTCTGTCATTCTCTTCTGTCATTCTCTTCTGTCATTCTCTTCTGTCTGTCATTCTCTTCTGTCATTCTCTTCTGTCATTCTCTTCTGTCATTAAGATCAGCAGTAATTCCTGACCCACTGACAATATCTTCCTTCCTGATTGTCAACCGTCATTAGTATGACGATAAACTAAATCCGGGAGCAAGAAGTCTAATCAGGAGATTTTGAAGAGTGTGGAACCACATCTTAATGTTGTCCACCGTGACCTGGGGTGGTATCACCTGTCAAGGTCCTAGCTATGATCAAATAATGAACCCTCTAAACTGGGGTTAAAACTTTATGGAAATATAAAAATATATTTTTATAGTAAACTTATTAGCAATACATTTTCATGATAACAAATTACAAACAATAAAATATTGAAATAAAAAAAATTACAAAAGCTCCTAAGAAAATTAAATTTCGGTATTAAATGACCCATAAGATGTTGATATGCTGTTAAGCAAACAAATTAAATCAAAGCTCTCAAGAAAATTAAATTTTAGCATTAAATGACCCATAAGGAGTTGATATGCCGTTAAACAAACCAGTCAAACCTGATTATTAACACACACAACGTAGATAGTGTGTGTCACAACTAATTCAAACATATTTTAACTAAAAATTGTAAAATTCCTTGATTAAATAACTCAATGCAAATTTTACGCTTAAGTTACTATGGTGATTTTCATTCATTCATATTTCTAGAAACGGCATTTATTTTCTTACTTCAAAATCTATACTCATTATTAAGACGTTTGCTGAAATAATAAATAATCTAATTATTACTATATTCGCTAAACTTTAATTTAGACTTAACTTAAATAATTTTTATGGAGTTACTTAATAAATCTTATTATTGACATCACGGGTGATATAAAAACTAATATTATAAATACACATTACAACCTTAATAATAATAATAATAATAATAATAATAATAATAACATAAAGTAGCAGATTTAACACTATTATCAGTGACACGTCCAAGATAAATCTTCTATCTTTTCTTGCCAGACAACAACAACAACAACAACAACAACAATAATAATAATAATAATAATAATAATAATAATAATAATAATAATAATAATAATAATTGACTATAGAATCTGTTTATTGAGTTTATGTGAAACCCTTTTTATTCTTCGATAATTAATCGTCCATCATCTTTACTTGTCTGTTCAGCAGCAAAAACAGGGAAAAGATAAATAAGATGGAGTTGCCCTGACAGGAATATAGCGTCTTTAATTTGCTCGTTTTTCTACCGTTTTCGTCCCATAGACAACATTGATTTGTTTTATCATTTCTTTGCCATTCTGCAATTTTATCCGCTGTTCGCTTCTTTTCCGTGTCAATCAATAAGTAAAGGAGTTAACCTCACAAGAAAGGCTAACTAAGGCAACGATCATCAAATAACACGGCTCTGTTGCAACAAAGGATACGATGCGAAATGCTCTAATGTATATAGATATATAAAATATTATTTGTAAATAAGTTTTTAACTGTGAATGAATTCGCATACATCAATAAGTAAGCACACACACACCCATATATATATATATATATATATATATATATATATATATATACATATCTAATGCATAATCATATACATTTATTATATATATATATATATATATATATATATATATATATATATATATATATATATGTTAAAGTGATGTGAATACATATTTAATTGCATATATTTAAAATTCTAAAAACCTTATGTGTATATACCTTGATTATAATAATTTATTCATGTAATTAACATTAGTTTACACGCATGCCTGAATATACATACAATACATACATATATATATATATATATATATATATATATATATATATATATATATATATATATATATATAGAGAAAAGAAAGAGATCTGTCACACAACTATATATCGATATATATCACACAAATAAAACACAGACGACATCCATATACGGCTGAATATTGAAAAGTGCTAGGTTTGACCACACCCCACAATACTTATCTAATAACCAAGGATGATGAATGTCTAATCCCTTCTTCGTTGGACTGAAATTTTCGGAAACGGAAATATATATATATATATATATATATATATATATATATATATATATATATTTCATTATTTAGAGTAATGTGTTAGGAATCATGAAATGAATAAAAGTATCTTATGAATGAAATTAATTAAGCAAGTAAATGAAGGAAGAAACAAAAGGATAGAAGCAAAGGAAAGATGTAATAAAAATAGAG